GGGAAGTGGAAGGCAGCATGGCTATACTCTAGTGAGCACAAGTGTTGGGCATCCTTGCCTACAGAAACCTGCACCAGTTATTGTTAGTTCTGTATATTGTTGTGAATTACTACCAACCACAAGCTACTGTCTCTTAACACACATACCACATAACTTATATACATACAAGAAACAACATGCATTTTTCTGGGGAAAAGAAAGGCTTTAGAAATGACATTTTTTTAAAGACAACTGTCCTGAAATAATTGCACATAGCTATACCATCCAAAGAAATGTAGCAAGGCAATCAGTTACAATGTAATAATGCATCAAGTTTGCAGTTTCAAACCATAATGCATTGAAAATAAGCTTGTTCATAAACTTAGATAAAGACAGGCCATTTCCAGAAGAGGCGATGGGTGATCATTTTAGATACCTGTATTTCTGCATGTTTTAATTTGTAGTGGTTTTTCCTACAATACAATGCACATCTGCCCATAAATTCTACTGAACTCACTCCTGAGTAGAATTATATGTACTAAAATAATTCTTATATTTAAACATTAGAAGAGAAAATATTTCAATAGTTTGTAGCATTTCTCAGAGATGATGACCCAAAACTTTTCTATTTAATGGGATCTTTAAATGGGATGTGTGTATGTTCATGTTCATTTAAGTGTACAAGAGAATATGAGTTGTATATTCCTTATTTAGAATTCTGAAATACACCAAAATCAATATTACCCACATGAGTGACTGAGGTAGTGACATCTTTGCTTTCTGGTTGTTCAACGTACACACACTTTGTGCATACACACACTTTATTTAAAATATTTGAAAAAAATTATCTTCAGGCTATGAGTATATAAAACATAAATAAATTTTGTGTTTTGACTTGGATCCATTCTCAAAATATTGCATTATGTACATATGCAGGCACACACTCCAAAATCCATTTTCCTCAAAAGCCCAAACACTTCTGGTGCCAAGCATGTTGGATAATGGATATTCAACCTATATAACCATGCTCCCCATACCAAACTTCTTAGATACCTCAACACCAATGATACACCAGACTGTACAACACTCTCTATCCAACTATTCTTAAGTCTGTTGGGGGTTGGAAAGGATGAAGCAGGTGTTAAACTAAGCTTCTCTATGGTAGGGAGGGGAGCCTGTGGCTTTCCAGATGGGACTGCAAGCCTAGCCAAAGTGAGGGATGATTGGAGTGACAGCTGAAAACATCTGGAAACCCATAACTTGTTCATTCTTGCTTGTCTAGAAGCACACACCTAACCACACTCTATTGAGCTCCCTAATGCAAACATACTTTTTATTTCAAGCTCTTGTCCTCGGAAATACTCTGAAGAATTAATTCAGTTTGACGCCACTTTAACAGTCAATGTAGCCTTATGTCTTTAGGTTTCTCTGCCAAACAGTGCTGGTGCCTCATCAATCTACAACTCCCAGGATTCCATACCATTGAGCCATGGCAGTTAAAGTAGTGTCAAACGTTAACTCCCGTGATTCCACAGTATTAAGTTGTGCCAGTTAAAAGTGATCTCTGTATACTTTCACTGTGTTATACCCTGCCTTGCGCTGTGAGAAGAGACAGATAACAAATAAAAGTTATTATATTCCTATTCTACAATTGTGGGAGCTGGACTCCAAAACACCTGGAGGGTTGAAGTCGGTCCATGACTGTTGTATATGCACCCCTCCTTGGGACTGCAACATCTCTTCTCCCACATGTTGACTTTGTTCCACATGGTCCGACTTTGGAACATCCTCCCCAGGGCAAGCCCCACACTGTCCTCCTTTCGAAGGTATGTGAAAACCTGTATGTCCCAGCAAGCATTCAAGAATGACTAGTTCCTAGCTACAATGCCCAGTCCTTAGGTCTGCTAGTATATGGTACTCTGTTTTGCACTTCATCCACTTCCTTGGTGCTATGGTACGCTGTTTGCACTATTCCTTGCCTGGCCCTTTTATAACTTGGTCACGCCCATCTTAGTAATCCTGGCCATTGATTTTTTTGAACCTTGTCTGGAGCTTCAATGTAATCTGTTTTTATATTTTTCTGCTTAGTGGTTGTTATCTAGATTGTTGAATTTTATGATGCTTTTTTTTAATGGTGTTTTTGTTTTAATTGATTGTTTTGGCTTTTATGTGTTGTGGACACTCTGTCCCATATGTAAGCTGTCTTGAGTCCCTTCGGGGAGATGGTAGCAGGGTACAAAGAATAAAGTTGTTGTTATTATTATTATTAATGTTGCCCACATGACAAACCTGTCAGAAAGTTATGCCTTCGGATTTACAGCCTCATCACGCTACAGCATGGATCCACTTTAAATCCGGTTTCTGCCTCCTGCAGAATTCTGGAGTTTGTAGTTTAGTTGGACCTGTCTGCTGTACAGTTGAAAGGCCCCTTCCTAAACTACAAGCTCCAGAATTCTGCAAGAGGCAGAAACTGGATTTAAAGTGGATCCATGCTCAAGTGCAGGTGTGTTTTGCACTTCAACTCCCACAATTCTCCAGTGCAGGCATGTTTTGGACTTCAACTCCCACAATAGGGGAACACATCTCCCTCTATGAACCACCATGGAGATTAAGATCTTCTGGGGAGGCCCTGCTCTCGGTCCCACCCCCGTCATAGACACGATTGGCAGGGTCGAAAGACAGGGCCTTCTCAGTGATTGCCGAATAAACTTCAGCTATGGAACTCCCTCCCTGGTGAGATTAGGTCAGCCCCCTCCCTCCTATCCTCAGAAAGATGGTAAAAACTTGGATGGGACCAAACTTTTGGGACATTGCAATAAGGCAACAGTAGGAAACTTTACCCTGCTGACCGGATCCGGAATGGCTGATCTGTGATGGTTTAAAACGATTCATATAAAGTGGAGATAACTGATTTAATGTTTATGTATATTTATAGTTTATTTTATGTTCTGGCATTGCCGTATATATGTTGTACTCCGCCCTGAGTCCCCTTCGGGGTGAGAAGGACAGAATATAAATGTTTTAAATAAATAAATAAATTCCTAATGGCCAATTTTGGGAGTTAGAAGTCCAAAACACCCGGAGGGCTGAAGTTTGCCACATATGCTCTAGTGCAGGGGTCCTCAAACTAAGGCCTGGGGGGCGGATACGGCCCTCCATGGTCATTTAACCGGCCCTTGCTCATGGTCAATCTATGTCTGAAACTACTTGAAAGCACACACAACAACAACAATCCTATCTTATCAGCAAAAAAGCAGGCCCACACTTTCTATTGAAATACTAATAAGTTTATATCCGTTAAAATTGTTCTTCATTTTAATTATTGTATTATTTTAAAGTGTTTTTTGCACTACAAATAAGATATGTGCAGCGTGCATAGGAATTCATTCATTGTATTGTCGAAGGCTTTCATGGCCGGAATCACTGGGTTGTTGTAGGTTTTTCAGGCTGTATGGCCATGTTCTAGAAGCATTCTATCCTGATGTTTCGCCTGCATCTATGGCAGGTATCCTCAGAGATTAAGACCTCACAACCCGAGGGGGCTTGCCATAGTTGCAGGTGACATGTCAGGAGACAATGCTTTTAGAACAACCTACAACAACCCAGAATTCATTCATTTTTTTTCCAAATTACAATCTGGCCCTTCAACAGTTTGAGGGACTGTGACTTGGTCCTCCGTTTACAAAGTTTGAGGACTCCTGCTCTAGTGTGACGAGGTCCTTAGAGTGCTGCTAACGTTCTCCCAAATAGACATTTATGAATAACACAGTGGCACTCTGCACATGCTCAGCTGAACTGCTAACTGGAATGTCCTTCCAAAGGAAATAAGACAGGCCCCATCCCTCCCCTCCTTTCGTAAGAGCTTGAAGACCTGGTGGTTTCAACAAGCCTTTGAAAATGACCAGTTCTAACTCAGCCCCACACATTGTCTAATACGGCCTTATTCTTCCTACCAGTTACCCAGATTCTTTCCTCTAATCGGCCCTGGAATGGACAGCCACAGACCTTAATATTATTGTTGCCTGCCATAGCATTGCACTTAATTCCCGGGCCCCCTAGAATTTTTGGGCTTGCACAAATCTTGGCCCGGCCTTTTAAATTTTTAATTGCCTTGAACAGGCAGGATTACTTTTAATATATGTGTGTTATGGCGACAATTTTTATGCTTATATTTTGTTTGTTAATCTTATGGTTATGTTGTTTTTACTCTGTATGTTTTGTGATATTACTTGGGAACCGCACTGAGTCCCCTCGGGAAGGTGGAGCGGTATATAAATAAAGATGATTATTATTATTATTACTGTGCTCCAAGGCTGTGCAGTGGCAGTGAAGGGGGAAAGGCTGCAAGTGTATTGAGCAGGATTCCTAGATTTGGAAGAAACCCCAAGGGCCAGGCATGTAGCCCGGGGGGGGGGGGGGGGCTTCAGCCCCCCCCCCCCAATTCTCATGGTGGTCTGCGAAAAGGCCTTACTGGTACATTATTTAAACTGTTATGTTTATTCATATCATGATGATCACCATGCTCAATATATCCCATATGCATGGGAGGTATTGGGGTTACGATACAAAAGGTTTGCTAGGGTAGACCCTCTTTCACTCAGACTCAGCCCCCCCCCCCATCAAAATCCTGGCTACGGGCCTGCCAAGGGCCATTCGGTCCACAGGCATGGGCAAACTTTAGCCTTCCCTCCTGGTGTTTTGGACTTCAACTCTCACAATTCCTAACAGCCTTTGGGAGTTGAAGTCCAAAACACCAGGAGGGAGGGCCGAGGTTTGGGCTCCAACCCCATTCTGCAGAATGTGTTCCAACCCCATTCTACCATGATATCAAAACACATGGTATCAAAACACAACCAAACCACTCCCGACAGATGGCTACCCTGCCTCTATTATACCCCTCCAGAGAAAGAGGCCCCACCACAATGGAAGCGAAGGCAGCATATTTCAATGTGAACAGGTTTAACCATCAGGGAGTTCTTCCTGACGGCTCAGTGGAGCAGTCTCCCGGTGGAGGAACTCACCCAGGCCGGGCCCCTCCTGTGCCGCCGCCTCCTCCGCCGGTCCATGGGCGCTCCCCCGCCGCCAACACCGCCTCCTCCTCCTCCTCCGCTTCGTCCTCCTCTTCCTTGGCGGTCCATGCCGAGACCCGAGGGGGGAGGGGGGAAGGTGGAGGGCAGCCAGGCCCCCTCCCTCCCTCCCTCCCCTCACGGGAGCCCTCTCTTCCTCCTCCTCCTCCTCCTCCCTCGCAGCCTCTTCCTCAGGACCAGGCCTGGGCCCTCAGCTCCTGCTGCCGCCTCCTCCTCCTCCGCGCTTCTCTTTACCCTCCCCTCAGGCCGCAGCGCTACGTGGCCGTCTCCGCAGCCAACCCAGAGCCTGTCAGGCAGCCGACCTCGCGATTATACCGCGCCTCAAGCCTCCCCCCCCCCTTCCTCCTCCTCCTCCTCCTCCCTCCCGCTTCTGTTTCCCTTCAGCGTCGCTCGCTGGCTCGTCGTCAGGAACGCGGCGAATGCGCATGCGCCAAGGTCCTCGCGCGAGAGAGCGCGCGGCTTGTTCTGGCTTTCTTTCTGTTTTTTTTTTTTAAGGAACTCACATTCTCCCTTTCTGTTTCCATCGCCCCCCCCCCCTTGCCCCGCCCAGTTCCTTTTGCGCGCGCATCGGCGCGAGACCACCGCCACCCACGTGATCGCAGCCAACCGCCTCCGCGCGAGACAACACCCCCTCCGCCCCGCCCCTCTCCATAGGAAAAAAAAAAGAAAAGAAAAAAGAACGCGCTCGCGTGAGAACAGCCAAAAACGCTGGCGGCTTGCCTTTCCTTGTGCGCATGCGCGGTGGGAATTAACGCCGCGCTCAGGATGGAAAAGGGAAGTGAAGGCTAGGAGAAGTGGTGCCTCCTTGTTTCAAGTTGACACTGCTTTTAACTGCCATGGCTCAGTTGCAGAGTCTTCTCCGAGGTAGCTGACAACACAGCAGCAACTGGAGCAACAGCAGGAAGAGTGGAGGCCTGGCCTTCACTGAAGCCAGCTTTGGAGAGCCAAGAACAGCAGAAGGCTACCCAGTTTCAAGAATATACTCCAGTGCTGAACCTTGAAAACACAACCATGGGAATATATTATGTTTTCCAGTCATCAATATTTTTCAACAAACAGTTGAATTTGCTCGTAAATTGGAACAGGTACATTTGTAAGTAGTTCCAGCCACACACACACACACATATATACACATCTATATAAATAAAAATGTAAATAAATATAAATAAAAATTACTTGTCTGAACGCATCTCCCACTACGTCCCACCTTGCAGTTCATCTGGGGAGACCTTGCTCTCACTCCCACCAGCATCGCAGGGCATGTAAGACATACCTGTTTCAACTGGCTTTTAATGTTTGATATTGCTTTTTTTTTAATCGTTTTAAATTCCTTTTTAATTTTGTTAGATTTTAGCCATTCTTGTAAGCTGCTCCGAGCCCCATGGGACTGGCGGCATATAAATTTAAATAATAAATAAATAAATTAAAATATCTGGCGGGGACGAGAGACAGGGCCTTCTTGGCTGTGGCCCTCCGCCTGTGGAACTCACTTCCCAATGAGGTAATATCGGCTGCACCCCTCCTGTCTTTCAGGAAGAAATTGAGGTCGTGGTTCTGGGACCAGGCTTTTGGACAGCAGGCATAAATAGTGCTTTGGATATGGAATTTGACTAGAATGGTGATATGGCGGGTAATACTGTTTTATTGTTTTAATTAATGTTCTATTTATTGTTATATTGTTATATATAATGTGCCAAATATAAGCCGTCCTGAGTCCCCCTTCGGCAGTTGAGAAGGACGGGATAGAAATGCTGAAAATAAATAAATAAATAAATAAATAATGTTCGTTTGTGGGATTAACATAACCACTGGATGAATTGACATCAAATTTCGACACAGTACATCTATCAGGCCAACAAGTGACCATCACTCATAAAAACAATGAAAAACACAGCAGAAGGGACTTAAAAAGCAAAAAAAAATTACATTACAATGCATGCGCAAAACCATATATATACACAAACACACATAAACAAATATACACATATATGCACACACAAAGCACATATTCACAGACTGGGCCACAGCGACGCATGGCAGGGGACAGCTAGTATGTGTGTGTGTATACATACACACACACACACACACACAAGCTCCTTAGTGGCGCAGTGGGTTAAACCACTGAGCCGCTGAACTTGCTGACCAAAAGTGGGTTCGAGTCCAGGGAGCTGGGTGAGCTCCCGCTGTTAGGCCCAGCTTCTGCCAACCTAGCAGTTCGAAAACATGCAAATGTGGGTAGATCAATAGTACTGCTATTGTGGGAAGGTAACGGTGCTCCATGCAGTCATGCTGGCCATGCGATCTTGGAGGTGTGTACAGACAATGTCAGCTCTTCAGCTTAGAAAAGGAGATGAGCACCAACTCCCAGAGTTGGACATGATTGGACAATGTCAGGGGAAACCTTTACATCTTTACACATACACACACATATACATATATACCTTTGGATGGCATAGGGAAGGAGTAATACCCCTGTGATGTTTGTTTTGCTATCTCTGCCCGTTTAGAAGATTTTGTCTCACTTTATGTATAATCATTGTATTTTGACAAATTTGGCTTGTTATGGAAACAAGGATAGGTGATAAAGCTTCAGTTGAGACACCTTTCCCCCTGATTGATTTATTTATCATGTCAGAAGCAAATTGAGAGTACAGTTATAATGTATTTGAAAGAACACAAAGTTAAAAACTTGCCATTATACTAAATTTTCTTTGGTGTCACTGTGAGAAGGTCCTCCGTTGTGCATGTGGCAGGGCACAGACTGCATTGTAGTAAGCGGTCTGTGGTTTGCTCTTCTTTTTCAGGAGTGAATTTCCCTTCTGAGGGCTGTTGTCTCACCCGTTTTTAACTATGAGTCGTTTGTAAGTCAGGTGTTTGTAACTTGAAGAGTCTGTATTGTAAAGTGCCTGTGAGGCCTATTGTCAGTAGAGATCAAATGTTTCTATTAATTTTGGAATTGGGGAGCTCATCTTTTTTGGATCACCTCTGGTGGTGACTAGTGATTAGATCTGCAAAGGTTCTAGATCAGAGGCCTTCAAACTTTTTAAGCATAGGGTCAGTTCATGGTTACTCAGACCATTGGGGGGGGGGGAGTGACTATTGTTTGAAAAAAAATGAACTAATTCCTATGCACCTTGCACATACCTTATTTGAAGTGCAAATAAAATGAAAGAACAATACATTATTTGAAATGAAGAATAATTTTAGCCAACACAAACTTACCAGTATTTCAATGGGAAGTGTGGCCCTGCTTTTGGCTGATGAGATAGTCAAGTTAATTAAGATTGTTGTGGTGTGCCTCCAAGTCATTTCACTTATGGTGACCCTGAATCTAAAGTTTAGGACAGGGGCTGGAAAAATTACCTTGGAGGGCCACAACTTAGTGTGAGGACCCTGGATTAGATGTAGGCTTTGTGCAACGTTTAGACCAGAGCTTTCCAAACATTTCATGTTGGTTACACACTTTTTAGATGTGCATCATTTTGCGATACAGTAATTCAGTTTTACTAGCAAACTGGAGGTGAAGCCAACTCCTTATAAAAGATATGGACACATACATAAATTGTAATAACGAGGTGTATAGGGACACATGTCTCATGCAAACCTTTCATTTATATATTTTAAATATTTATTCCTTATTTCACATAGCATCAGAGGTTTCTGGTTACACCTACACACTGCAGCCGATATACTAACGTGTCGTGACACACAGTTTGGAAAGTTCTGATTTAAATCACTGCTTCATTACAGAAAGAACTTCAACCGTAGAAGGCATTGTGACATTCTCTCCAGAGAAGTTCAGATGAATCTCCTAACATATTAAAAGCAAATTTGAGTAAGGAAGTTTGAGAGCGGTGCATGATGGTGGTCTGAAGTGCCTTTTGGAGATCACTGAACATGCAACAGACACAGGATTGGGACATCAGGAAGGGGTAAATAGCTTGTATTCTTCCACCACTGATCCTAGAACATGTACATGTCATTTATAAATCAACTTTCACAGTGACAATCTGGCAGAATGACACATGCAATTTTTAATTAAGACCTGCTTATACCTGGGAGTAATTCAAAGTAATGATTGAAAATCCTTTGGTGGGAAAGATGTGCTTGCAAATGAACAACCCTGGCCACAACATTTCCCTTGCTTTTTCATAAAGTGCTTTGAACTATGTTATTTACTCTGCAAGCCTAGACTCTTTAGTCTTACAAGGAATAATAGAAAACAAATATTTTGGCATGTATGAGTTGCAGCTGCAAGCCTATGCAAAGGAATAAGCCCCACTGAACTTAACAGGGCTTACTTCAAAGTAGGTACCTTCAAAGGAAATTGTTCTGATTGTTGCAACCTGGATAACGGTGACTGCAATTAAAATTAGCATCCCAAATGAGTGGGGTGTTAATTGGGCCAGTGCACCGAATACAATTTTCCCAGCCATTGTTTTGTTGACTTGAAACACACCCACAGACTAGGAGTTCTTTACTGCAAGAAACACTCACAAAATTGTTATGATATAGCTCTGCTGTTTTTACTGCAACAGACTAATGTGGCTGGATTTTGGAAAAAAATGTTCTTTTTTCAATTGGATGCTCGTTAAAGTGTTGTACTATTATTCTTTGTTCTCAGCCAGGCTGACCACTGGTTGTGTTTCCTGGAGATGATGAGAGTTACAGTCCACATATTCAAATTGAGAAGGCTGTTTTTTGAAGGTTATTTTTTTTAAATTATTCTAGATGTTTATGGACGGCAACTCCCAATAGCCCCATTCAGCATAATGGATGTCAAGGAATGCTGGGGATTGCTTATAACCAACCTGAGGCCGGTTATAAGTCCAGAGGAGGACAACCAACATTGTAAAGGAAGGAAGAATCAAGTCATGTGAGAAACTTGAGGGAGTCAAGTAAATTTAGCTTGGAGAAATAAAATATAACTGAGTAAATTTAGCTAACAGAAGAAAAGATTAAGGAGTGATATAGTAATCTTTAATTATTGGAAGGATGTTACTTGGCAGGTGGAATAACTTTATTTTCTCTTATTTGAAAAGACAGAGTCCAAACCAATTGATTTTGAGATTCAGATTAAACCTTGAAGATTTACTCAATGGTATGAGCCATTCAGCAGTGGAGTAGACTAGTTCAGAAGATAGTGGACTCTTCATTTGAGGTTTTAAAACATGTCACAAATGCTTGAGTAGTGGTAAGGGCTTGCACCCTTGGGGTTCCCTCCAAATCTGTGGGTCTCTGAAGTTCAACATCTGAAGAGTTACAAAAATTCCCATCCCTGCTCTGAGACCTGTTATAATGGGTAGTAGTTATTGGGTTAGCAATGGAGATATCAGTAATTGTCCCAGAAACATGTTATGTTTCAGAACCAGCTATACTACCAATGGGAGCTACTAGCAAGTTAGATTATTTTTATCATTATGATTTGTTATGAGTTGCAGTTCACTTTGATGTTTTAGTGCCTCTGCCGTATGTTGTTATTCTTTTTATAAACCCTGGCTTCAAATGCTCTAGCCTGGTGTAACTTGACAAGTATCCAAACCGATCCAGGGCTACCTGTCTGACAGCATTACTGATCTGAGAATAGGGAGTATAGGGAAGGGTTGGGGAAGGCCCTTGCACCCAGAGAGAAGAGAAGGATTGTGCTCACGAAAACATCTTTTCTGTTAAGAAGTGACATAATTTTGTGTGAGAAACAGAGTGCAGCACAAATAAAATACAATGAGGCAAAATAGGAAGCAAATTTGATATGAATGGAAACTGTAAAACAATGTTTTCTAATCATCTGAAATGAATATTGCCCATACAACTTTGTTGACAGTTTAAATGTTCACCCCATCAATATTATGACAAGCCTCCAAACAAGAGGCTAAAATCATGATCTCAGGGGTGACAAAAAAAAACCCCCAAACAAACAAAACCAACAACTAGGCATGAGAAATACAAAAGTGATGGAACAGCAATATAACCAACCTTCACTTTAGCCCTAGTCAGCACAGCCATAAGTCAGAAATGCTGGAAGTTGACGTGCAACAATATCTCTAGAAAGTTTCTTGGTTTTGTTCTGATACTCTTGGCAGTGCCAAGTGACTGGCTATCTCCCTTCCTCGTTTCAATTTGCTACAGTACCATGAGCCTAGTGTTGACTAAAGTTGTCAGTGTATTTGAAACACTGCCTCATCAACTAAGACCATCAGGATCGACTAACATGAAGGGAATGATGTGGCCTTCCAGATGCTGTTGAACCATAACTCTCAGCATTCTTCACCATTGGCCATGCTAGGACTTGTATTCCAACAATGTATGAAAAGTCACATGATTTCCTGTGCTCGCAGAATGATTTGAATGAGAGTCATGTTGCTCATGACCCAAACATGGAGCTGACCATAGTTGTGATGTGTGCAGGCTGTCCAATGGGTAATTCTCTCATTCTTGTTCTGACAAGGCTGTTTCAGTTGACTGCAGTCCCCCCACTCCATACTTTGATCTTAGCTTTGACGTGAAAAGGCATGTCACCTAGGCAGAGAAAGAAAGTGTATAACAAACCCACACCTGTCCTTGCACCTTAACTGTTTGCCAATCTGCAGAATGACACGCCTGCCTCTGAGCTGCAGATCTTATCAATCCTGTGATTTCTCTGTTGGCTCTCAAGGCTGCAAATGCCTAATTCACCTTCTACAAAGATTCTGCCTAGCCCTTGAATGTTTCTCAAGTCATGTTTCTTTCCAGGCATTCTGGCTTAATTCCAACAGATATTCTACTTTTCATATCTTCCCTGTGGTTTCACCTGACGTTGTGTATTTGTTCCAATTCCAATGTAGATGGGGTTGTTGATGACAATTTTTCTACCTATACATGCAGATGTTTGTACTTTGTTTTGCAGAAATGTGTCCTTCCCAATATGATTCTTCACTTTTTTCTTTTTTTGTGGGTGGCAGTTCTCAACTATTGGAATTTCAGACATTTTAAACATCAACTTCCAAAAGCTCCAGCCAGCATAGTTAATGGTCAGAGATTCTGGGAATTGAAGTCTGCATACCTCGGGGGGGGGGGGGGGGTTAATTATTTGGAATTTATGTTCTACTTAACATGTATATTAATCTATAACCACCTAATAGAAGATGATAGTGGTATGGAGCTGCACCTGATCTCATATATAATTAAGTGGCAGAAGTGATTAGGGCATTTGTAATTTAGTTGATGAACCATTTTTAAAATTTCTTTCAAATAATACAAATAGGACATTGATAAGAGACTACCTTTTGAAGACAATCCAGATACTGCAGATGGCCAGTTTGGCAGCTAGACTCCTGAACTAAAACTGTCTGATGATCTCCCTATTTGCATTCTGCTGGCACATCACTCCCATGCTCTCTTATATGTTTGTGGAAGACAACTGTTGATTGTCTAAATCCATTTGCAGGCTGACAGTCAGCTACAGAGTGGACCCTCCAAGTGCTGTTGAACAATTCCTATCAGACCTTCACAATGACCAGGCAGATAGAAGTGATGGGAGGTGGAGTTCAATACCATGTGAAGAGTCCCCAGCACTGGCCTACTGTGCATATGATCTGAAAGTCGATGAAATTTCTCCCCATCCTCCTAATTTAAGACTTCCTGTTGGGTTTTGATGGTTTATTACTGCTTTTCTCTTAGCAAGATTGTTTTTTTTTTTATTGTGATCTACTGCTTTCTGCAACAAAGAGATACATAAAAACACTACAGATAATTTAGTGAAAAGTGGTGTTGGTACTAGTATGAAATTAACCATCTCATTGCATTTAGGGTCAAAATACAAGATGGCCATTTGCCCTATTTTACAGAAAACAACCCTTTGCTTGAGGGCCTTCTCTGTTTGAAGTGCAGCACAGTTTGAGTATTAAAAGAAAAGAGGGACCATGAAAGTATACATCATGTTGGGAATCCTGTAGCTCATAATATATTGTTGGACTACAGCTCCTAGCATTTTGGCTAGCGATGCTGGGACTTGCAGTCAAATAATATCTGGCATCCAAATCATTTGGGATATTGCATATTAACACCAGCATATTGAAGTGGGCTCAGAAACAGATTGGTAGCCAGTGCAACTCCTTTAAGATTAAAGAAATATGAATCATACATCTACTGTCAGCATTCATGCTGCTATATTTTCTACCAGCTGCTCCTTCTAAACAGACTTTGGTGGCATCTCTACTATAAGCATCTATTGCAGTAGTTCAGTTGGTTAGGCTGAGGCTAAAATACCTCTGTCAAGGCCCAAGACGGAATTGCTCCTAAGGCCCATCACAACATTCCTTAACACCGATTATGCTGATTAGGAATTTGCAGTTTTAGAATTACCAGGCAGAGCTCCCACTTTAAGAGTTTTAGTCCAATCTTTTTTAATCACTCTCCCCATGCAATATAGCAAGTGGGGTGGTGGCCCAGTTTTGCTTGCTTAAGGTTACAGTGAATTCAAGGAAGAAACAAGATTTGATCCCAAGACTTCCCAATTTATAGTTCTTACTACATTAATTTCCAAGTCACACTGTTAAGAAGGGACATTTTATTAGTTCATTTATTGAAGGTTGGTTATTACAATCTCAACTTCTTGCCAGAATCATTGCTAAGTGAACTTCTTTTGAAGTAATTAAAACATCCCACTAGTGAATGCTGCTATCATCAGGCAATCAGTAGAAAACCTGCCATATTCCCCTTACAGCTGGGATGAGACTGTGAAACAGAGACCTGCTGTCTAAAAGATGTTTTTTCTTTGTATGAAGACAAATAAATTCAACTACTGACAAGTCACAGAGGAGAGCAGGAATAAAATTTACATAAACGTGTCAGCTCCATATGGGAAACATTCCATCCCCAAATATCATGATGTTTGTTATAATCTGTCTTACTGTATGGGTGGAGGTAGTTTCTCATACTGATAAACTCTTGCATGGCATTGTATTTGACAGCAAAGAAAGGGCTGAAGAAAGACTGACTCTTTTGTTTTCCCAAAGCAAAGCCTAAACTGAAATAATACGGCGAGATCTTGTAAAAAACAATATTCATTCCAGAAGAGGCTTTAGGTTAAATGTGCATAACAAAAAAACAACTCCCTAGTCGTTTACAGCTATTGTTCTGATCAACATAAAAAATAATATTTTAGTGGAAGAAAATGAAGATTGATCACCTTTATTATAGTAAGGGGGAAAGGGGATTTTCAATCTCTTGAATTTTCAACCCCAAATTGTGAAACCTCGGTGATTACTTTTGGCTAAACTCTCTTATTTTCAAGGGAATTGTAGAAAAAAGTTAGGGCTGGGGACAGAAGGTGCTCACTGGGGTAGCTGGAGCAACACTGACTGTCCTGATGGTAGATAGGTGATGTTGCGGGACCGTGAGAGCTGATACGCAATGTCTTCAGCTGCTTCCAATTTGCGTAGTTCAATGAGGCCATCGCCAGCAGTAGCCAGAGAATTGGCAATCAGCTCAGCTGCTTTTGAGTCCCCCTCTGCTGAAATGATAGCTGCTTTTTTCTGCTGCTCTGCCTGTGAAAGTGTGGAAGGAAACAAATAATGTAAGCAGGAAAAGGGACACCTAACCCAATCAATAACAAATTTCAGCAGTGAGTGTTGACAGTAGCCAGAAGAGAACAATTTGGGGGGGGGGGGTGCATTAAAAGTTGTTACTTCTGAGCAGCATGGAACAACTGGAAAAAAGGTATAAATCTCTCCAGCAAGAAGTGATTCCCTGCCAACATCAGCTATCAAACATATTAAGCCTCACCTTTTCCACTATGAACCTAGCCCTCTCTGCTTCTTGCTGGGCAACTTGCTTCATTTCTACTGCTTCTGTGAACTCTTTCCCAAATGTCAGATGTGTCTGAAAGAAAAGAGGGAAAGATAGTCATTCATAAACTATGTTAATACAAGCTACCGACATTAAAGATTATTATTATTTTGAAATAATAATAATCTGCCTTTTCTCCATTGAGCTCAAGGCATTCAGAAAAAAAGCATACTATTAAACACAAATTACAGACATTTAAATCCATACATTAAATATATCTAAAATATACAAATTGCATTATAATAAAAGGAATACAACCAAACAGAAAATGATGACTTCTGCTTGCTTGTTTTTCTGAAAGCTTGTACAAACAAGTTTAAATGGTGTTATTGGGGTGCTAACATCAAGAAAACTTGCTGTGTGTTATAGCCCTTCATATCACACTATTCTGTGGTGCATTAAAAAGATGGAAAACAAAGTCTTCTTTGCCTAGGAATTTACAATCTAGAAAAAGACACAAGGGAAGCAGATGAAAGGGAGGGAAATGGAAGTAGAGGTAAACAGGAAGAAATGGCTGCTGCAGTTTCATGTGCCTTGACAGCAGAATCTTGAAACAAGGGAGTGTTCCAAACATTCCAGAGAAAAACTAATCTGTTTATTCCCAGTATATATTACAAAGACAGACTTCATTCACAACAAGATAGAAGCACCACTTTTCAAAGACACCCATGGCATTTCACAAATTAATATAACCTGAATCCAATCAGCTGCTTGGGGAAAAAAGCTAGAATTTATAAAGGTTTAAATCAAGGCACGTTACTGCTATGACTAAAGTGTTTCTGACACAGATCTGCTCACTGGATCTAAACCCCCTGCTGCAGCCTTTAGACTTCAAGGTCATCTTTCTCTTCTATGCCAGAAGATAATGGGATATCTGCAACTCTTCAGACATTTTGAACCATTGTTCGTATCAATATTTAGCCAGTAAAATCAATAGACAGGGATGATGGGAGTTGTAATCAACATAAAGATGGCCACAGGTTCCTTCCCTCTTAGTTTAGACCCTAACTTGTAGGAAAGATGGATTCTTACCAAGGAAACATCATCCAGGATAAGGCCAAATGTTGCTGCTCTTTCTGTAAGGTCTTCACTCACTTGCCGTGAAACCAGCTCTCTCTGGGTGATCAACTCACCAGCATCAAAACGAGCCTGAAACAATGAGATGCGTTAAAAGGCAATGAGTGTCTGTATGCAAGAGAGCCTTCCCAATGAGGACTCCCCATTCAAGAAACCCCATTCCCTGGGAGGTCTGGTTGGCCTTCTCCCTGATGTCTTTCTGCCAGAAGATAGACCTTTTTTAAAAAAATCAAATAAGCTTTGGGGTTTTATTATATGTAGCAGATAAGTTTTTAATGCAGTGTTGGTGGTATAGTATTATTTTACTATGTTTTAAACTTAAAGCATTATTAGTGGTTTTTAACTTGAGCTTTTTAAAATAAAAATGTGTTTTAATTTTTATATTAACAGTTTAATTATATTGTTCTTTTAAAATATTGTACATTGCCAAGGATCCTATGCTGGAAAAAGGCGGATATAAATGAAATTATTAGTCCCTTCTGTCACAGGATCACAAAAGGCTGCACACCCCAATCATTTATTCAAAAATGTTTAAAATTACATTAAAATACCTGATAGTCCCCTTAAAGCAGTGGTCCTCAACCTGTGGGTCCCCAGATGTTTTGGCCTTCAACTCCCAGAAATCCTAACAGCCAGTAAACTGGCTGGGATATCTGGGAGTTGTAGCCAAAAACACATGGGGACCCACAGATTGAGAACCACTGCCTTAGAGAATACGGGGGAAAATGTCCCCTTGTTTTTGGCCTACCCTGGGATGTATTAGGATGATAACTTCTCTAGTAAACTAGAAGTCATTTGTTGTTTTTAAAAAGGGGGGAAATGTTTTCCCCATGTATATCCAAGTCTAGCCATAGGGTTTTGCAAAGTCAGAAGTCCCTAATGCTGGATTTATTTATTGATTCTCCTACTGCACCCCAGGGGCATGATACCACTTGATAATCGCCTTCTCCTTACCACTACAGATTTCAGAATCTCTGTTGTAATGGAAGGCAACACTCGCTCATCGTAGTCTTCACCAATAGTGGTGTAAATTCTGGGAAGTTGAACAGTCACTGGCCTGAACAAGATTCGCAATGTGATGTTCACATTCTGTAAATCTACCAGAAAGATAGGAAGAACGTTAGAGCAAGAATTCAAGGTTGCAAGTCAAGGGCATGTTATTGGAGCCACTCCATGTTTTTTGAGGGTCTATAAATCAACAATTCCCAGTCCAGGCCTCTTCGCAAGCTTATGTGAATTGTTCCCCACAATCTGCCCTCTTCATGTGAGAAATGAGCTAATGGTGAGGAAGGTTACAAACAGCAGTCCCAGTAACATTCTCAGAACCACAGATCCTCTTCTTTTTAATTTAGCATTTCTCCAATCCCAGCAAGGCTTAGGAGCTAGGAAACCAAAACCAGAAAGCTAGTATTTTTTAAATCACCTTCTGTAATAATTCCCTATGGGCTTGTTTTGTCTTGTCTTGACTGAAACATATTCAGGTGAATTTGTTTGCTGTTTATATGCTCGAAATGGAGTCCCAAAACATTCTGCTTAGTTTACATGCTTGCTTGTTCAAATCTATCATTGTTGCAACAATGGATGCATTTGTTTTTCTGGAAAAAAATGTGTGCTGTTACTGATCGTCTCTTCCTGGAATCCCCTTAAGTTCCTGAGAAACCTTGAAAATTATTACTGTATGCCAGAAGTGGTTTGGATCTACTTATATAAATTTCAGTGATTTGCAATCAGTTGCCAAAGATTTCTGAGTCCTACTTATTATTTATGGATTTGCAGATACTTGCACTCTATTTACATTCCAAAATTCCAAAGCTGTGCACACTAATAAGCATAAAATACACACAAAACACAACACCCTAGAAATACTACACATATTCTTTTAAAATCCAATAAATATATGTATGTTGATGGCACTAACTATATAAATAGACGTTGAGTTGAATGAGGAATACATGTTTTTAACTTATGTTAGAAAGTAAAGACAATTGGCAAGTTCTAGTTTAATTTGAACAACAACAAAATGTCCCCATTCTACATAAATTATACAGATTAAGAAATCTGAAGGGAACCAATAATTTGGATTTTATAGGGATTGTGAGTCTAAATTCAGTTCTTGCACTGAACTGCATTTCCATCAGCTGTTTGTGGATGGAATCAGGGTCCCAGCTCTATTTTGTTGGCATATAAACCAAGATGGTGGGGGGAAGTTTAATTTTTTATTTTTTTGCTGCTGTAGTGGAATAACTGAGGGGCTGGACATTGTGGTAACCTGCTGTAACTTGCTCAGAGCTCTACCTGTAAATCCACACCAACCTTTCAATCAAACTGAATTATGTACCAAGGATAAAGTCAACCTGATCCACCATCTGATTACCTTTGCTTCCAGTGATCACAGGTACATTGCGTGGACGAGAGCGGCAGTCGAATATGATTGGCTTCTGTACCCATGGAATGAGAAAATGGGTGCCTTCTCCCACCACTATGTCCTGGACACCTCGGAATCTGTCAAAAATGACAGCCCTGTGGCCTGCATCCACTAGAAGAGGAGTAGAGCAAACAAAACATCAGCAACTGGAACCAGAAAAAAGCAAGAAATAGTGAATCATGACCCATATCAATTTGGACTTTTATGTGCCAAACTTAGTAAAGATTTATATACTGATAAACCAGACAAGGCAAACTTTGGGCCCCTAGATGTTTTGAACTTCAACTCCCACAATTCCTAATAGCCAGAATAGTTAAGAATTGTGAGAGTTGAAGCCCAAAGCATCTGGAGGACCAAAGTTTTCCCATGCCTGAGATAAACCTATGACCTCCTGGCTTATTCGGATTCAAATGGAACAAAATGTTGCAGTGCTGCATTCTGTTCAGGATTTCAGCAAAGTGTTGGAAATGTTACTGTTTTTAAATATAATGTTCAGAATCCCCAAGCCTGCATGCCACACTGCAGGCTAGAAATGATTTCCCCCCAATTTTTGATTCTAGGTCCTTATAGTAGGTGTGTGGATTGTATGGTCCTGCAAGTCTTGTTAACTATTGCTCCCATCTTTGAACATAGTGGCTGGAGTGCAATGACACTGAGAAAGCCACAGAATCCTTATATGTCTTACAGGATACTACACCTTGACTTTACTAATAATATAATATAGTACATTGTATATACATATAATATTTATATTATAATGTAATACAATATAATACTAGTAATAATACAATAATTATAATTATATATTTACATTACATGTAATATTACTAATAATATTACAATATAATTGTATGAATATATATATTGTAAGACGCTCTGAGTCCCCTTCGGGGTGAGAAGGGCGGCATATAAATGCCGTAAATAATAAATAATAATACACTGCAAAATACAATTTCCCTTTTGAATGTGCAGCCTTATTTGGCACTTCGTGTGTGTGTGTGTGTGTGTGTCTATTTTGTGAAATGCTGACTTCTTTTCTTCATTGTCTAGTGTTTACTTCTACAGTGGGACCTGCTAAGGTTATTGATCCATCTAGGTATTGTATTACAAAATTATTAGGACAAAACCCAAGCCTAATGAAGAAGAAGGAATTCCATAGGCTTGGGTTTTGTCCTAATCATTTTGTAATACAATAGTTATATTCCATAGGAAAGTATCCAGATCAGCTGTCTCTGCTTAGCAGTTTTTAATATTCTACTAAAGAGTTCTAGACAAAAGGAAATCAATAAAATCAACTGCAATCAGTTACAATATCTAATGCAAGGAAAGACCTCCTCACCATTATAAAGAGCAGAGTTGACAACTCCACCAGCAATTGCCAAGCCAAGGCCTAGTTTACCAACAGTCTCGAAGATCTTGGCAGCCATTGGGTCAGCTTCAAGCCTGCTTCTTTGTCTTCAAAAAAATCACACCTGCACATAGAACAGGGAAATTCATAGAAGCCTTAAAAATAAAGGTGGTGAAGCAATTTCCTTCAATGGGAGCTGACTATAAAGCAGTCTGTTTTCCAACAATGCCAAGTTATAAATCACCCATACCAACCTGGCAGTGTTGAATATCATAGGATCTACTCCAGAGTAAACACCCACATAATTGTACTACTGTTTTGCGAGTATGTATTATTGTTTAAGCCCTCTAGGCTATGTGTTTATGGTGTATATAAAATACAGGGTGTTTCAAAGAGAAGTACCTGATTTCAAATTGCTATACCTCTGCAACCACGAACCTCCTATGAATCAGACTCTAATAATAATAATAATAATAATAATAATACTTTATTTGTACCCCGCTACCATCTCCCCAAGGGATTCGGTGCGGCTTACATGAGACTCTTACCCCTTGAAAGTTTCAAAGCATAGTTTCAAATGATTATCGCTAGAGGTCTCTCCCAGCTCACAAACAACCCCCAGTCTCAGTGTTTTGCAACATGGTGACTCCACAACGTAAGGCCTACTGAGATCATCTCAATTTGCAGAGGTATTGTCTAGTTTCTGCATCAAAATGGTTAAGAAAACTTGATAACTAATTAAACAGTTTGATGTAACAGCAATTATAACATGTAGCTATTGTGAAATGTACTGCTTTGAAATTAGCACAATCGTTTTGTGTTTTCTTAGCCATACATTTTTATGTCATTTTCACACTTTTATATCATAACAATGGGGAGAAAGGGCCAAGGAAAGTACAATAAGTTGATTATAAAGTTATGTCTATCTATAAGTCTAATGTATATTCAAGAATGAGGAAGGGGAAGATATTGTTATACATATTTCTATTTTTCAAAGCAGTTCCATTCACAATGTTTTTTACTTAGGAAAAATAATTATTATTTCCCTCCCTTTTTTTTGGTGCCATTTGTTTTTCTTGTTGATCTTTTTTCTTATATTGTCCCATTTTTTATTATCTTCTCCTCTGAGCTTATACTATTAGTATTTCTTCTAGTTCACTTTACTTATACATTACATTTTCTATTATCCCTGACATTTAATAATATTTCATTTATATTTCTTAGAGACTATTTTGTTTTTTAATGTGTTAGTAATGCCTGTATAAATACTTGTTTGCTTGATCCTTCGTCTAGCCTTCTTTTATATCAGACTGTCTCACTCTCTCTATACATATACATGCATACATAAACACATTCATATAAATACGCCTACATGTTTGTGTGTGTGTACTTCTATAATTTCTATCTCACTGATATTGTGCATTTTTTCTATTATAGTTTCTTAACAAATGACCCATCAGTTAGCATCTATCTCTTAAGTTTTAATATACAAAATATTGAAGATAATAATCTATTATTTCTCTTATTTTTAGTTCCCAAATCCTGTCGTGGTCTTTTTCCTCTGGTTTTTCACAAAGTCTATAAAAAGTTTCAATTCTTCTTGTAGATTCTGCAAATTAGTTTGCTGTAGGGCTCCATCATTTTGGAACACCCTGTATAACTGAATTTCCTATTTGGACCTGAGACCCATCTCCAAGATATCTCATATTTGCAAATATTACAAAGGGTGCATCTACACCAGGCATGGGCAAACCGGTCCTCCAGGTGCTTTGGACATCAACTCCCACAATTCCTGATAACCGTAGGCTGTTAGATATTGTGGGAGCTGAAGTCCAAAACACCTGGAGAGAGAGCTGAAGTTTGCCCATGCCTGATCTACACTATGGAATTTAGAAGCCCCCGGTGGTGCAATGGGTTAAACCAGTAGTTCTCAGCCTTCCCCATGCCTTGACCCCTTAATACAGTTCCTCATGTTGTGGTGACCCCCAACCATAACATTATTTTTGTTGCTACTTCTGAACTGTAATTTTGCTACTGTTCTCAATCATAATACAAATATCTGATTTGCATGATGTATTTTCATTCACTGGACCAAATTTGGCACAAATACCCAATGCGCCCAAATTTGAATGCTGGTGAGCTTGGGGGAGGTTGATGTTGTCATTTGGGAGCTGTAGTTGCTAGGATTTATAGTTCACCTACAATCAATGAGCATTCTGAACTCCACCAAGGATGGAATTGAACCAAACTTGGCACACAGAACTCCCATGACCAACAGAAAATACTGGAAGGGTTTGGTGGACATTGACCTTGAGTTTTGGAGTTGTAGTTCATTTACATCCAGAGAGCAGTGTGGACTCAAACAATGATGGATCTGGACCTAACTTGGCACGAATGCTCAATATGCCCAAATGTGAACACTGGTGGAGTTTGGGGGGGAAGTAGACCTTACCATCTGGGAGTTATGATTGCTGGGATGTATAATTCACCTGAAGTCAAAGAGCATCTTGAACCCAACCAACAATAGTATTGGGCCAAACCCCCATTACCAACAGAAAATACTGTGTTTTCCGATGGTCTTTGGCAACCCCTCTGACACCCCCTTGCGACCCCCCAGGGGTCCCGACCCCAAGGTTGAGAAACACTAGGTTAAACTCTTGTGCTGGCAGGATTGAAAACCAAGAGGTTTCAGGTTCGAATCCGGGGAGAGCATGGATGAGCTCCCTCTGTCACCTCCAGCTCCCCATGCGGGGCCATGAAAGAAACCTCCCATAAGGATGGTAAAAACATCAAAACATCCGGGCGTCCCCTGGGCAACGTCCTTGCAGACGGCCAATTCTCTCACACCAGAAGCAACTTGCAGTCTCTCAAGTCGCTCCTGACATGAAAAAAAATTAAAAACCTGCCAAATTTGTGCAATTTGGCATCACTTTGCCTTGACTAAATGCTATGACATTGTGGGATTTCCGATGTTTTTTGGCAGGGAAGGTTAAAGGCCTTCTAAAACGACAACACCTAAGATTGCATAGCATTAAACCATGGCAGTTAAAGTGAAGCCAAACTGCATTAATTCTATAGTGTAGATGAACCCAAAATATGGGGGAGTCAATCAGAAATATGGTCTGGTTCCAAGTATTAGGCTAACTGTACACAGTTGAAGCTCTCCGTTTGCCAGAAATGGAATCCAGAAAAGCCTCCCAACCACCATGTTTTCCCCATCTCCACCCTCTTTAACCCTTGCTCTCCTTTCTTCGTCTCTTCCATTGCATTTTCCTAACGCTCACAGCGTTCTCAACCCTCCCAAATGCAGACTCAACTGAAAGGAAGGGAAGCAAAAGGATTCGGGGCGGGTGAGAAGTCCGAGGGCCGCTTGATCGCAATGCTTCACTCACCTCCCCAGCCAGCGCTGACCTCCACATGAATCCCGAGCAAAAGCACCTGGCCTTGCTCTACGGTGACGTACAATCTACGCGCCCCAAAGGCCTCGCGCAAAGCCTGATGGGATTCGTAGTCTCTCCAGCCGCGGTGGTAAATAGTATGCAAAGGAGCATGGAGGCGGAAAGAACTACAAACCCCGAAGGCCTCACAAAGTCTGCTCTTATAGGCTCAGAGCTTCTTGGAATTTGTTCATAGAATGATAGAGTTGGAAGAGACCTCTTGGGCCATCCAGTCCAACCCCTGCCAAGAAGCAGGAAAATTGCATTCAAAGCACCCCCGACAGATGGCCATCCAGCCTCTGTTTAAAAGCTTCCACTACACTCTGAGGCAGAGAGTTCCACTGCTGAACGGCGCTCACAGTCAGGAAGTTCTTCCTAATGTTCAGATGGAATCTCCTTTCCTGTAGTTTGAAGCCATTCTTCTGCGTCCTAGTCTCCAGAGCAGCAGAAAACAAGCTTGCTCCCTCCTCCCTATAACTTCCTCTCACATACTTATACATGGCTCTCATGTCTCCTCTCAGCCTTCTCTTTTTCAGGCCAAACATGCCCAGCTCCTTAAGCCGCTCCTCATAGGGCTTGTTCTCCAGACCCTTTGTCATTTTAGTCGCCCTCCTCTGGACACAGTCCAGCTTGTCAATATCTCTCTTCAGTTGTGCCCAGAATTGGACACAATATTGTTGTCTGTCATATAAATGGCTTTCCTTTTCCTTGTCCATTACATGGCTCAGTGCTATGTAATCCTGGAAGTTGTAATTTTCTCTGCCAAAGGAAAGGGTGGTGTCTCAACCAAAATACAAATCCCCTTCTTCAATATAATTAAACCATGGTAGTTAAAGTGGCATCAAACTGCATTCATTCTACAGCGTGGATGCACTCTACGTATGGTCAGAAACTCAACTGTCTTTTAAGCACCAGATTCATAACAATTGCAGTTGCCTCCCTGGCTTTCTATATATATACACACACACACACACACACACACACACACACATATACTAGCTGTCCCCTGTCACACGTTGCTGTGGCCCAGTCTGTTGATCTGGAAAATAAAGTAATGAGAAAGTGTTGGTTTCTAATATATGTAATGYCTTTATGCTTGTGGGTAAACAGTATTTATTGTTGTTTCTTTGTCAGTGTTGATGTGGAGACTGTCTGGTTTGTCTACTCTGGAACATGCAACATATAATTGTCCCTCTTCAGGGGTTTCTTTCAAATCTATGATACTATCTCTCYCTCTCTCTCTCTCTCTCTCTCTCTGTGTGTGTGTGTGAATCATATCTATCTATATCTATATCTATGGCTGGATGGCTCTTTGTCAGGAGGGCTTTGATTATGTTTTTCTTGCCCCGGTGAAGGGAGTTGGACTGGATGGCCTTAAGTATTTTCTCTAGGTCAATGAGGGTTCTGTGTGGGAAGTTTGCCCCGATTTTGTCGTTCATGGAGTTCAGAATGCTCTTTGATTGTAGGTGAACTGTGAATCCTAGTGACTACAACTCCCAAATGTCACGATCTATTTCCCCCAAACTCCATCTGTATTCATATTTGGGCGTATTGAATGCTTCTGCCAAGTTTGGTCCAGATCCATCTTTGTTTGAGTCCACAGTGTTCTCTGGATGTAGGTGAACTACAACTCCCAAACTCAAAGTCAGTGCCCACCAAACCCTGCCAATATTTTCTGTTGGTCATGGGAGTTCTGTGTGCCAAGTTTGGTTCAATTCCATCACTGATGGAGTTTATTTATTTATTTATTTGCTATATTTGTATACCGCCGTTTCTCAGCCTAGCCGGCGACTCAACGCGGTTTACAACATAATATAACAATCAACAATATACAGTTAAAAGCATAAAAAACAAACAAACATAAAACACAATTCATACATCAATACCAATCCAGTTCAACTCTTAACTAAAAACGTGATCCAGTTCGTCGTCCATATTGCCAGTCCTTTAGTCAATTACCATTCATTGCACTGAGTTAACCAAATGCCTGCTTGAACATCCAGGTCTTCAATCTTCTTTGGAATACCATCAATGAGGGGGCTGATCTTACCTCCAAGGGCAGGGCGTTCCATAGCCGCGGGGCCACAGAAAAGGCCCTGTCTCTCGTACCCGCCAAAATGCTCAAAATGCTCTTTGATTGTAGGTGAACTAAAAATCCCAGCAACGACAACTCCCAAATGACAAAATCACAATTTTTTGAATGATTGTCACTCCTTGCGTTGTGAGACATTTTGTTGCCAAATTTGGTGTGATTTCATTCATTGGTTCTTTTGTTTTTAAGGTACTTGTTATGCACAGAGCATTTATATATATATAGATGTTTAACTACCATGGTTTAATTATATTGAAGAAGGGGATTTGTATTTTGGTTGAGACACCACCCCTTTTTTTTGCAGAGAAAATTACAACTCTCGGGATTACATAGCATTGAGCCATGGCATATAAACTGGTGTCAAACTGCATTAATTCTACAGTATAGCTCAGGCATGGGCAAACTTCGGCCTCCAGGTGTTTTGGACTTCAACTCCCATAATTCCTAACAGCCTGGTATAAATGCAACATTAAAAACAAAAATGGGGATCAAAATATAACCAATAATCATTTAAATGAGGCAGAAAGTTAAAACCACCAGCCATCTAGTTTATTCTCATCTTCAGAACTTGGAAAGTCACTTTCCAAAATCAATCCTTTGTTGTTTGTTTCCACAATTGCTTTTAAAAGAGGCAATCTATTTTGCGTCGTAAACATGGTGACTCATTTTGTTCCACTTTGTGTTATGCTTTTGTACAAGAGTGAAGTTCATCTGAAAATGGGAGAAAGCCTGGAAAATTCCTTTGAAAGTGCCTCTAAAGCATCACTTTTAAAAAGTTATTCCAGAGCATTAGTCATTATACCAAGAAGGTGAATTTGTTTCCCACTCTTTAAGGTTGCTTTTGAAATGTAAATTTATTTTGTCTTTTTCATCCTCAAACTTCTCTGCAGGCAACTGTTTGTGGTTTGAGTGTTGAACTAGGGCCCCATCTACACTGCCATTTAATGGAATTTGAAACTCGGTTATATGGTCAATTTCATAGGCTAGAACTACACTGCCATATAATCCAGTTTCTGAATCCAGAATATCTGCTTTGAACTGCATTATGAGTCTACATTGTCATGTAATTCAGTTCAAAGCAGATAATTTGGATTCAGAATATGATAACTGAGATAGTTAACATGCTGTGAGTACTCTTGTGTTGAAAATATTGAGATTTTGAGTATTTCAATCTATTTAAAATGTTCAACACCTAAAAATAAAATTTAAAAAATATTAAATCTGGCAGGAAAAAAAGAAAACTGATTATATGGAGGTGCAGATGTGGCCACAGACTTATATAATGCAGTTCAAACCACATTATACGTTTCAATGGATGGGGCCTAGGACTTCCTATTCACCTAGTTGTTGTTTATATGCCTATATGTTTTTATTTAATTGTATTTTTAAATTGTTTTCATTTTATGTTCTGTTTTAAGGCACCTTGTGCCATGTGTAAGCAACTCTGAGTCCCTTCGGAGAGAGGGTGGCAGGATACAAGAATAAAGTTATCATCATCATCATAATCATTATTATTATTATTATTATTATTATTATTTGATTCACAACAAGATTAGTACACAGCAAACAAGGTCACTATGCTGGCTTCCCAAATGTCTAGGACTGTGTGATGTATCGGCAAATAATGTGTGCAGATCCGAATAGGGTGGCCTTTTGCAGCTGACAGATGGTAATTTTGTCAGCGTCGATTGTTTTTAAGTGCAGGCCAAGGTCTTTAGGCTCTACACCCAGTATGCAGATCACCACTAGGACCACCTTTACTGGCTTGTGCCAGAGTCTTTGCAGTTCTGTCTCTAAATCCTCATAACATGTAAGCTTTTCCAGTTGCTTCTCATCAGTCCTGTTCTTGCCTGGAATTGCAAAGTTGTCGATTCATACTTGTCCTGTCCCCCCCCCCCTCCCCGCCGCCGCTGTCGCTGCCGCCACTGCCGCCATGATTGTGAGGTCATGAGTATTGTGCTCCAAAACTCTGTCAGTCCCAGAGTAGTTTAAATTTTCATTTTTCATAACCTTTTCAGGCTTCTGGTCTCACCAGTTCTTTGTCGCACGAGTTGCAATGGATCATCTGAGCAATGGTGTTATGCCTCTGCTTGTAGTTCGTCTGCATGATCTTCTTGCAGCAGCGGAGTACGTGATCCATTGTTTCATCTGCCTCCTTGCAGAGTCTACACCTGGAATCTGTAATCGACTTTTCAATTCTAGTTTGGTTGTAATGGCTTGTTCTTGGGCTGCAAGAATCAGAACCTCCATCTCCTTTTTCATTTATTTCCATTATTATTATTATTATTATTATTATTATTATTATTACATTTAAAGCATCATTTTTAAAAGGGCTAACAGAGGCCCCTTCTACACTGCCATATAATCCAGTTCCAAGATGATAATCTGAATTTGATATAGCAGTATAGAAGGGGCCAGAGTCACTGAGTTGGTGGGATATAGTCACTACCCCTCCCTCTGTTTTCATCAATTATAATTCATACTAGAGTTCGGCACAGAGACCAGGGATGCGTTTACACTAAATAATTAATGTAGTTTGAAACTGCTTTAACTGCCATGGCTCAATTTATGGAATCATGGGAGTTGTTATTTTACATGGCCTTTAGCCTTCTCTGCCAAAGAGAGCTAGTGCCTCATCGAACTACAAATCCCAGGAGTCCATTAATACTGAGCCGCAGCAGTTACATTGGTATCAAACTGAATTAATTCCACAGTGTAGATGCCCCTCATGATTTCATCTAGAGCCCAATTTGAATACTTGGAACAAAATTTGTTGTTGTTTATATGCTAAATGGAATTAATTCCAGTTCAGTTCAGACTTAATCTAATTTGGACCCTGTATCTGAATTTGGATCTGGAAAACTGAGCTACCATGATTTTTTTCTGGTTAACTAGAACAATTAAGGTTTTAATTTTTTTTCATACTTCTACATAAAATATGGAAATATGCCCATTCAA